TATGACAACAATGCAACAATGCTATGATGTTAACAGCTGATTTCGTGGTTGCTTGTACTTCAATCTTTCATACCAACTTATAAAAAACTAATTTGACTTTGTTTGTTTACAAGTAAGCTACTGTCAGTCTTTATTGAACACCCCTCGTATTTCATGGAAGAAAGTTCATTTTTAAATGGGTTACTCGTCATCACACCCAAAACCATTCTGACCAATGGAAAGAGAAAATAAAATAAGAGTAAATGTTGTATTTACTTACATCTTAAATTCAATCATTTGTAGAGTTCTCGTTTTGACAATTGTTATAATCAGCTCTTAGTCATACACTAGGTTTTACTTACATCTTGGTTGCGTTTTATGTCAAGGATATAGTGTGATTACGAAATAGACTAAGAAAAAAACACTTTATCTAGCCAATGGAGATCAAAAAATCTTAATCATAAAAATACAATATTTTTACATTTTAAAATCAACTTATCATAATGCATGAAATATCAGAGGATATATAGTATATGAAATTCATTTGCCTTATTTATTTCGATTTAAATATAAAATAACAATCTTACAAAATCGCTTTACGAATAATCAAAATTTATATAGAAGCATAAACGTTACAGTGCCGTTCATGCTGTCATGCCTCATTTACTCAAACGATGTCATTCTTCTGTGCTATAGCTCTATCTATCTTCCCGGCCCTAAACTTAACCCACCCTTGGTAATGACAATAAATACGCCTTCTCGTACAATGTATTCTCCGTTGTGGGATGTAGTTAGTTACACGCAATCAAGGTACGATGTAGCACAATGTAAACACCTCTGCTGCTGTGGTTCTAATTAACAAATTACTATCTTGAGCTACCTCACTGCACAAACTACTCGACTAGTTTTCCAACTATAAGTCTGTCACGGATGCACTGCACTCACATTTATATTAAATGTTCGGAAAAACAATTATTGTATCTTTGGACTACTGGCTTTTATAGAACTAGAAGATGGGTTGTAAGCATTGTTTTTAGATAAAATAGCTCAAATACAACCACAAACCTAATAATGAGACTGAAAATTAAAGACTAAAGTTGTATGTACTGTATTTATTTCATTTCTCTACTAGAGTGTTTTAATTTCATTCATTTGGATGTAACAGATTTTCACAAATACTTGTTACAATTGTAAACTACACCGACTTAAGCATATTATACACCTCATTGTGAAGGATGCAGCTGGTCTAGAACTAGTGTGCAAGACTTCTATACTGAAGGACCGGGTTCAAATCCCTCTAAACACGAACAGCTATGTGATCAAGTAATTCAGTAGTTCGGAGCTCGATTTAACTCCCAGGAACGCATTTAAAGTACACAAAAAGGATAGGTTTCTAGAGCTAGTAAACTGTGTCTATTCTTTAGATAACTACACTAATGTAGTTTGGTCCACATTTACTTTGGTCCACCATTAAAAGCCATTCGATAACAAATTTTGCTAACGCAACCATTTTGAAATACAATTATTTCCAATTCATCAAATTCTATAATTTGGCCTGAACAGTTAGATAATAAAGTCAATTACCTTATCTGATAGAGACCCGTGTTAGTATGATTTAACCGTTCAAGTCTATATTATTTTGGATTTCCCAAATTCCCACCGTATTTAAAGGCGTCATTAGGTGGATAAAGAGTGGCCCAAACCTTCATCCTTGAGATAGAATACAAACCTAGATAATGGTCACCGATTCATATAATCAATTTCACAACTATTGAAGGACAAAGCAAACACTCTAACCAAAGCAATTTGATATTAAATATGAGATTTAAAAAAAATATTGTTTTTAAGTGGGTGTGATAGAGTGGGGACATAGAAAAATTAATTATTGGAGACGGCGAATTGACGCTAAAAAGGACAAAGATGTCAAAGAATATTTCAATCACATGCTGGATGAAAACGTGCATCAATCTTGGATCCGATATTAAAAGAAAATATTTATTTCCATTCTTTAAAAATAAGATTGAGGAATGGAGATATTTTAACGATTATTTTATAGATAGCTTGATTATTTATTAGTGGGAGGATCAGTTAATAGAATAGTAAATTACATAAGGATTGAATTATAAGCAAATCAAAGATTATAAAACTTGACATTTATATATTTTGTATGAAATTTAATATCAACACATTCAATTTTTATATTCCAATTTCTCTTTGCACATGAATCTCAAACAGCAACAAAGGCTGTTTAAAGTATCAAAATTCACATTAAGTAGGATTAGATCCTCGCATGAAGCCTTATGGTAAAGCCTAACTAAATGAAGTTTCTAGTAACCACGTCATTACAAACGTTATCTCGGATTAAAATGGCATCCTGTGTTTTAAATAGTGAGTTTAATGCAAACCATCATAACGGTTATAAACTGTTAATTTGGTCTAAATTTTCTAGCATGTAGAGTTTATTTAAATGTATTCATAAACATATTGATCTAGTAAATTGTAATAAGTGTTTTTAAAATATTTAGAAGAATATAGACTATATTCATCATCGTCAATATATTACTCATTACTTTCTAGAATCAATAGTACACTAATCACTGTAATACAACCATTGTAACACTGTTAACAAGACTATTAAAATCCCACAACAAGGACATTAACCCTAGATTATCAAACTCCAACAGACAAAATTGTGTAGTAATACTCCCTTAACAATACACAATAACAGTTGAGTTAACGCTGTCTGGAGTTGAGTTTGAGTTCAAACCTGGCAACACCAACATTTTGTGAAAGACCACAAATCAGAAAACATCATCTCTAGAGATCGATAAACTTGTCGGTGCTTTGGCATTGGTCCACCTGTCGTCTGCTTACAGACCTCGTGGTTGCTTGTTCTATTTAGAAGTTGACCGTGCAGCTTTATAAAACAAAAACCATAATCTGACCAACAAAATGTTAAAAATGTAAGATATTTTATCAACATATTTATGGTGTACATGGTTTATTGGTGGAGTCCAATGGACGAATACTGCTTTAGATTTCCTTGAATGAAAATTGCCTTAGTTAAGCTAATTAATTGGATAGAGTTCTCTAGTAAGAAGAATTGTAGGCCATTTTACGTAAAATTTTATTCAACACTTTTGTGCAGACGTTAACAATTTTTCCCAGTCCAAGGAGTATACAAACAAATAGATAGATTCCCTAAACGGAAAAAGGCCACAAACTGAAACGGGAAAAGGCTGTGTGAGAAACATGGTTTCCCCAAGTCAAGCCCCCAGTCGCACCCCCTTTCAACGACCCTTACTTATGTTTTGTCTATTTTCATTGCAAACGCATGTTGTGTTGCACTTGAAACTATAGCTATTTGAAATGGAAGGACGTATCTTTCGGATCGAAAGGCATGGCCAAAGAGGGCGACTTTTTCCTTAAACTACCATTAGGGGTTGAAGTTTATTTTTAAATCTCTTGCTATTGAGCCCTACTTTCACCTTAAATTACGTTGCACATTCGTGGGGGGTTAAATCTATTAGAACAATTCGCACGCCGAATTTCAACATGTGTTTTCGTTACTCGTGAATTTCCGGCTTCAGCAGTTTGGGTTTGGATAGCTTTTCACTTTATATTTCCCATCTGTTTTTGTAGCTTGTAATTCACTTATTTTACGTGACACATGCGTGCACCTACCAAGTAATTTAATTTTTATTAATATGTCTTACATAGACCTCTTGTTCAAAATCTATATTGACACTTTTCATTTTACATTCATCACTTTTCTTCTGGACATTGGTGACCAATTTAATAAGACTACTTGCACAAAGACAAGTCTGGCTATCACGTGATCGCCACTGTATAGCCTTTACGTATGTTCCTGGCAGATGCTCCACGTCGGGTTTCCTCGCCAGTTTCATAATCCCTGTTGTGACTTCTGCCATCAGATTGTAAACAGCCATGTTTATGCTTACTCGTTAATTTCTGTTTGGCCCTGCTACAAGTAACAATCTAGACTTGAGATTTGAGTTTGTTCCAAAATTATTGTTTACGTTCCTTTACGTTCTGTTGCACTTTGTAAATAATTAATTTGTTCTATATTTAAGTTGTTTTGTCTCCAAATCACTGAACAAACTATAAAAGGTATAAATTATCTGAGTACTGTCAGAGTGATCCTGTATGATCCTTATGGATTGCGTGTTTCCAGGACTTAAGTCCTTATCTTCAGATCTTGAACAAGAACATTGTTAACTCTATCACTTCGAAAAGGTCATCAAAAGTTTAAATAAGATACAATGTTCTTGTACAATTCTTGTACACACTTCTTGTACATGATCTTGAAGATGAGGACTTAAATCCTCGAAACGCGTAATCCATAAGGATCATACAGGATCAGTCTGGCAGTACTCAGGTAATATTATACTTTTTTTAATTAATTTGCATTTAAGGAAAGATTCCTAGCTTCTAGGTATATAATTGTTTTATATGTTTGTGTATGTTGTATATTTTTTTCAAGGTATGATTGGTGTTCCTTGATATATTTGTGCCAAGGTATGTTTGTGGCCGTTGATATATATATATGTCAAGGTATGTTTGTGCCCGTTGTACATTTGTGTCAGGGTATGTTTGTGTCCATTGTATATTTGTGTCAAGGTATGTTTGTATCAAGGTATGTTTCTGTACTTTGTATGTTTGTGTAAATGTATGTTTGTGTACTATGAAATATTTTCTACGTCAAAATCATTAAGATATAATAGAACAATATACTTGTTAGCGATCTATAAAACCTCAGTGTTTCATCCAATGAGTAAACCGCACACCTTGAAATTAAAAGACATGCACATAAACGCATTTAAGCTTTACCAGACATGAAACAGACCCAAAATAAACTTAATAACTTACAACAGGGAAAACTCAATGGCTATTTTTCAATTTAATTAAGTTGGTAGGCCATCAAGAGATATGTTAAAATCATATAGGACTTTAAGGACTTTAAGATTGATTTGTAATTTTTTGTATGTTTTATATTCCAGATGATGCCACACACGGACAGGGCCGCCACGCCTTAGCTCACTAGCACCCTTCAGTTGTAAGGGTAGGTTACTTATTTAACCATGTATTTTTTTACTAATTTTAGGTAGCATTTCATGAACTTTTGCATTAAAATTTTTAGTTAGAAATACGGATTTAATCATTCGTTTTTGGCTTTTTTACAGGTGTAGTTTTGAAAAAAAATTTAAACCTCAATACTTGGATAAACTTGATATTAATATTAAGATATAGATTAAATATATGTACTTACATACTAGAACAACAAATTTTGGATATCTGATTTTGAATAGTTTTGTACGACTTATATAGAAAGAATTTTGTTGTTTAATATTTTTTATACTTATTTTAAAACTAGTTTCCAATATTTATATACAGTATAACATCAACAAACACATTTTCAAAGGACTAGTTTTCACTACTATGTGACTGACTATGTGACAGCTGTTAATCATTCAATTAATTAAATTATGTAAACTTTCAAAGCATATAAGGAGCATGCCCGAAGGAAATCTGTTCATACCAATATTTTTTCTAAATCTATACACTCTAAGCTATGTTGTATAGAGTCATATTCCTATTTTCTATGATCATCTTTGGTTAATGACCTTAAACGGTGAGTACAATTTAGAACTTATTACTGTAATAATACGTCTGATAAAAAAGTTGGTCAGCATTGATGAATCTTTTAAAGTGAATTGTATAAATAAATCAAACACTAATGTGGTGAAGTCCAAAAAGAAATTACCTTTTACTATTCATCCCTCGCTATATCTAAGCTTTAAAATGACACATCAACCGTAAAAATTGACTACGTAGGGCGGCTGGATAAGGAATTTTATAGCGAAATCCTCATTGTATTAAGTATACAGACAAATTGATGTATAGTGAAACTTAAAAAGCTCTTTAAACATCCGCACAAAATTCTTAAAATACTCTTCTTTTCTTTTCACAAGGAAATAAAATTAATATCAGCTGCAAACAACCAAGGCAGTAACGTTGTACTGAGAAAGTAGCTGTCACCATTAAGCGACTACCAGGCAACTAAGTAAGAGATTTGGCTCGGGGAAGACGTTCAAACAAAAACAAGTTTAAAATTGCGGGCGACAGGAGGAGCCACGTGGTCGTAATAACCCTGAGTCAGACAATATTGCAGATATTTTGGGTTAAGACAGTCATGACCCACTTGTATTTTAAAATCACTTGAAAGTTTAACCGGTATTTACACAGGTCTTTGCGTCGAGCAAGTTTGTTGCGTTAAACATTTGTATTGCCGAGTGAACTAAATTATCATGATCTATTGATATGATCACTGAAATTTAATAGTACTCTGGCCCACTTATGTTAAAATCTGTTCTGGTGAAAGTTTAAGCAGTATTTACAGAATGTCTGTTAAGCAAATTTGTTTCATTTTATTTTTATTGCTTTTCACTAGTGAACCTAATTCTCTTGAACTATATTTTTCTCGGCGTTTACGTGTAGTTTGATCAAATCATGTACAAGTAGTTTGAAGAGGAAAGCGGTCAAAACCCATTCATTGTTTGTGTATGTGTCGAGAATCAACCCCGTTCTTCCTGTACCAAAGTCCGAGACGCCAACACTAGACTAGCAACAACTCTATTGTTGAACTGAGATTCAATAGGGCAAATATGTGTCAAAACCCAAACGGTTTGTCGTTCGTCTCGAAGTTTACGACCCTTATATTGGTCGACGCCGACGGCCGAGATTAGAGACGGAAGATGTTCTTTCGACGGATTATCCAAAAACAACTCAGGGCTGGACCGTTAGTCCGATCCGCCGGCGCCATATATTAGCATTTTTACGCGTCGTGACGTTTGGTTTTTTATCAATTAAGTTGTTGGGCGTTTCCTCATTGGAAATACTAAAGATAGCCGGGAAGTGTTCGTGTTGGCTAAACGTAGCGTTTTAAGGGACGATATGCTCCTGTTGTGCGAGATACGCTAATGGTGTGTTACCGTGAATCCACAATCTGTTAACTGACGTTTCAGACACCGGTTTAAATCTAGCACGCACTAATGTGGACGGCAAAAAGTAGGTTTAAGAAAGCACTCGATCACATCCTTGGCTTTTTAACCTATCTGTCTTTTATCGTTTAGAGAATGTATGTCTTACTGATGGAAAGATCCCCATAAAATCATCGTTTGCATACTGCTAGAAGGCTTCGTGTCCTATCGTGAATACATATTTTTTTATTATTTTTGTTGAATGTTTTTCGACGCTTATGTATCGACTAAATGTTTCTCCAATAAAAATGTAAGTTTGACATATCGTGCTTTATAGAGTTGATAGTCTACAAACCAATCGTTCCATTTCGTCATACTAGTTCTAGATTAGGTGAAATAATGAGAGATAAATATTAACGTACTGTAACATTTATAGGACACACAATCTCATGAAACTGATCCATTTCGATGATATAATATACAAATTCAATCTATGGTACAGAATACAGCAAGTTTTAACGATACATTTCAAAAGTTATCAATCTTTTTTCAACGAGTTTGACTGATTTGTGATAGCTCAAATGTCTTAAACCACTTCAGGAAAACGTCATAGCCTGTACAGCCTAGTCATTTCTTTCAATCAACTTTCTCATGACAAGATGATTTTTAGGAGAAACTCAAAACTCAATTTTAAATGGATTCGACTTGACCATAGAGACTGGGATTAGATGCGTTATGGAAATGGATTTCGACGGATCTGCTGTTAAAATCCATTTGGACGGAGGAAAGTGGGCAGGACGAGACGGCAAGTTACTGGTAGATTTATGACTCGAGTTGCACGCTTGCATATGTTTACAGGTCGGTCTATCTCATACATCTCGTTTAACTTACTGCACTGCCTCTTTGATATCACCGCCCCTCGCCGCGCCGGCCTCATTTTTACAAGACCAATTAGTAAGTGATCAATTCTGCTATTTTATGAAGGGTATTGTAAACATCTTAGGTGTGTTCATTGATGATTTCTTCGGGCCTGCTAATCAGAAGGTTTCCGGTTCGATGCTATGAAAGTAACTGGCCTTTTGACGATTCAAAACCGTACCCGGCTGCCTTTGATCATAGGGCTTTTAACAATGACCTTTGGTAAAGAGCCAGCTGATGTTAGTCAGTAAGAAGCTATCATCCCATACTTTCAACACTTATTCTTCAGACTTCTTTGCCCTACGCTCCCTTTGTGTGTCGGCATCGTTGTAGAAATATAATAATATCAATACGGGTCTCGGTCATGATTCATAGTTTATGTTTTAGGCTATTTATTGTCTATAAGAGATTTTCAGATTAAGATACAGAAGAGGAAAATATTTGTCTAAATATGGGTTTTCAAGTATCTACTTTAACTGGGACCAGTCGATGAACTTACAGCAGTAGACAGGGCTGAATATTATGCAGCGATACGCATTAAATCCCTCTTAAAATAGAAGTAATCCATCAAAACTATTCCAATCTAAACCAAGATTAATTAATAGCCTACCATCCAATGTATTAAAATGTCGTGTTCTAATCTTTAGACTAGTTTTCGTCATTTGGTGTCTCCCAACCATACACAGTTTATATTTCATGTCAAAATGAAAAGGCAGTACAAATCACGACCATTAGAAGCTATGGAGGGATTTGCCAAAGCCGCGGTGGCTTGTGTGTGGCAAATCTGTTTACAGTCTTCTCAATCAAAACATACACCGTCGATTGAAATGTTTTGCCAAATCTCCAAAATGTTTTTTCAGCCGCTTCAATAACTTAAAACCTTTCAACCATATTGCGATAAAACTTGGTTATGGCAAATTCGTTAACATAACTGTGATAATCTCATATCGTTTTAGATGTTTTAAGTGGTTAGGTCGTGGTATATGGTGGCTGTGGTCAATTTTATCAAGGATTTCCTCGGATTTCTAAATATTTCTTTAGAAATCCTTGATTACGTTTAAATACGTGAAGTTAACAAATAAACTCCATAACTAACACAGATTACTGTAATTAATGAAATCCCCTGATTTTATTGTTTAGAAATTATGATTTTTCTTTGCTGTAGGAATATCTTAAACACATGATGTTTATTTTAAGTCTGGACTTTACAGAATGTAACAGTATTATTTTATCTACAACAGAGGGATTTTTCAAAAGGGAAATTCTAACACTTACAAGATACAAACCATTAAACGCTCCCAATTTCTTTTGGATATGACTGGGATTGAGCCAAGAAAATGACTCCTAGTTGTGCTACACAATGATAATCAACTCATTTACCTAAGGAGATATGTCTGGATTTGAGTTTGTAAACACATTTAAATTCAATAACTGAATTCACATCAACTCACCCAGTCCAGTTAATTAATCATAACAAAGCTCATACGCGGAGTTTATTAAATGTGCATGGTGCAACCTAATTTGGCATTTGGAAAGTTCATATTCCATTGTTACCTTCATCACATTACTGAATTAATTTTTTTAGGTATAAATAAGGATACTATCGTTTAAGTATTTTATTAAAATTAGTGTTGTACTCATTATTTTATATTAGTAGTTTCAGTACACATACTATACTGGTTTTAAAGACGGCCGTTTTATTATATATTATTAGTTAACTTATATATTATAACCTCACCTTCGGACCTCCGTAGAACATGTCATACACATGATAGATCTTCTATTATTGGACATCATTGATGTTTCATGGGAGGACTCTAGAAATTATAGTTATTTATAATCTCGCTACATATTCGTTTTGACCTATTAAAAGGATGACAAGAAGAATTTCACAATCTGTTCTTCTATCTAATATCCAAATACTTCATATTTAGTTTATACTGGCGTCACCTTTCATCTGTTTATTTCCGGCGTAACTTCCCAGTTATTAATTTTCTGTAAATTTTAACTCTTCTGTATGAATATAGAAACATCTATATCGACCCAGCTATCTATTATTCATAGATTTGATACCCTGCATGTAAAGTCTGTTCCCATCTAGGCTATTTGTTTTAAGACATAACTCTAAATCTTATAAACAATAAAACACGTGCCTAGGTATATG